AAAGATTTGGGAGCCATTATTAAGTAAGTTCTGAAAGCCAAAGTGCAAATATATATACATATAGTGAAAAAGTGCAGCTAGTAGACCATCAGGCAGACAATGATATGGAAATAACATATTGACAAGCATTGAGACTTTCTTTTTATACATATTAAACTTTAGAAGAAGCATTTATTATTTTTAAACTTGGTTCAATGAAATTTTGGTGGAGCATTGCATAAGTCAAATCCTGATTCACAGTTTTTTCTTGTGAAAAAATATGCCATGAAATTTTGATGTGTTTGCATTTTATAGATATGAGTTATAATTATTTATTCTGTTCAAAGTCCTTCTGCTCTTTACTTTTATTTGTAGATGTTCAAGAAAATTGAGAGATAGTTAAAAAAACTAAAAAAAAGGTGTATCTTTATTGATATCTTGATATCTCACATTTCAAATTCATTCATATTATAGCCAATTGTAAAAAATACACTGAAATTTTCTAATTTTTCAACATATGTTTTTAATAGAAATCAAGTTTTACTGAGAAAAAAGATACAAGTATCGAAAAAGAACCATTGGAAGAAATCAAGCCTTCTGTTGACAGAGCCAAAGTGTCTCGAACATTTAATCAGGTACTGTTTAACAAAGCTAGCTTTGACTTCAGTTCATCATTACTCCTCTGTAATTAATATCTAAGCTTGCAGTGTGACAGTTAAAAATTAGAATTGTAGGCAACCACTCTGCAGAATGAAAAGATTTTATTTAAATCATAGTTATTCGTGCTTCATGAACAAAATATCATAAAAAGTAATAAAATATATGAATATGCCTGAAATAAGAATTGATTTCTGTGTATCAGTAGAACACTTTTGGCTATGATGTATTGCAAGTTTATTTTAATATTTTATAATAGAATAAGTTTTATAATGATCACACATTTTGAAATTAACTGCAAACTGCTTTAAACTCTTGTAACCATAACATAAAGAATTAATTAACTTTGTTCACCTTAAGATTAACTTAAGAATTTTGAAAAAGGGACAAAAATGAAATAAGAAGGTTATGTACAGTAGATATTACAATAAACAAAAACAGTATAGTGTACTCTTTTTTTTTTTTTTTAATAATTAAACATGATAATTGAAAAATCATAGTATAGTAATGGTTGTTACAAAATTATAAACTCATGCATAATGTGTGTGGTTTCACTACACATTTTACTGACTTATGTTAAAAACAGGATTAGATTAGTAAGCTTAGAAAGATAGTACTTTGAATTTTCTGGTTATTTACCATACAAGCTGCTCAAGGTAGGGGTATTATAACATATTATGTATTTGTGAAAACTGGAATTGTTGTATAATAAAAAAACATAATATGAATTTTTTAAAAGCTTTGTTGTATATATTTTAACTTGATAGTTGTGCTAGGTTGTTCACTTACAGTTGAGAAATGCTTGCAACAACAAACTTCTTAGCTTCCAAAACCAACCAAATACCATAATTACTACATCTTCATCTCGATAAAAAAACCAAACATGGATTTTCTTATTTAACTTTTGTCTCTTGTTGAGTAAAATACTTAAAATATTAATAACTCGGTAATACAATAATGAGTTTGGGAAACATCTAAAAAATGACAAGATTAATTGTTGATGTGCCTTTTGGTAAGTCAAACTTTCAGCAATGATTGTCATAGTAATCATGATAAATTTATCAGTTTATATAATAATTGAGACTAATGGAAAGGAGAAATTACATATATACAACTATTTCCTTATGTTTTTTTAAGGGCTAAATACTTTGAAGTTGAAAATGAAATTAAGAGTTAAAAAAATTCAATATTGTAAAATCATGCCTTATTGTCTTAAATTCTAAGATATTGCACAATTATTTAAATCAGTTAGATGTACCTCTGAAATACTGTAATCCTTTCCTTGTTGAGTTTGAATTTACGCTATCATCAACAATACAAATTTCCAAATGTCCTTTACATGTTGTAGAGCAGGTGTCATTCACCCGTTATTCTCCACTCCCACTTTTTTATGTGACTTATTGCAAGAGCTTCAGGGAATCTTACATAAGTTCTGCTTTCCCATCACTTTGTTTTGGTTTACCTTCTGAAGCAACAATTTTTGACACTATTGAAATTTCTATAATTTTGGTGGAGGTTTTACTTTTGCATTTGGACTTTAGCATGCAGGACAAATTGTAGCTATTATGTCAGTTTTAATAGTTCCTATGTATTTGTACACTAATATTCCTGTTGGGTATAACAATTGTGTGGTTGCTTGATTTGCATAACAGTCATCATTTTCTTTAGTTTTCTAAGAAGATAATTTTTTTACCAAGGCCTAATTGCCTTCAGAGTTTACAGAGCTGTATTTGTTTGCTAGTCCCACTCCTGATTACACATCTACTGGTCATATTTCTCTTTCTGTCAGATATATACACCTGGAAAAAAGTTAAGCACCCCCGTGTTTTTTCAAGTGATTCAGATTCGACGTTCTTGTGACT